CTTTATATGCTTTCTGTACACATATTTAAAGGATCACCGTCAACACAGACGCAACCGACGCTCTGGCAGGCATGAAATCGCACTGTTTCACCAGCGCCTTCAGCATACGCTCGATGCTGGCCAATTGCGAGTCCGAGGTGGCCAATTGCCCAGCGCCTGGAGACGGCCTCGACCCGTTGACGCCGTTGCTGGCCGTCCGCAGGTGCCGCCGAGGACAGGTCATGCAGCCTGGACCGATTCGAGGCGAGACGGTCTCACCTCGAGTCCCCCACAACCGGCAACAAAGCTCGACCGGCCGTGTCAATCGGCCCGACGACCAGTTGCTCGTCGCCACGGACGCCTTCCAGACACGTCTGAGCCCTGTCCTGCTGGACGGGCGGCTGCCCAGCCCCCGATCCCGACCCGCCGGCTCCATCTCGCACAGTCTACCCCTGTTGCCGGGGCAACGCGAGGCGTCGTTTCTGGCCGCCGGTCTGCCTCTGACAGACGTGTTGGTACCGTTTTCCAAGTCTTTCGATGAGCTTCCCAGTCAACAGTCACACTCGCTCTCTCTGCCGGAGACGTCGCAATACGCCTCTTCAAGGGCCTCTTCTTCTTCATCCGCAAATCCTTCCAACTCATCCAGTCCCGCCGGCCACTCGGAGCACACAAAGCCGCCGGCCTCTTCCTCCCCCCCGGACACCTGGTCGCCACGACGACAACGACGACGACGACGACGACGACGACGACGGTCACAGCTTGCGTCAGAGACGCCAGACGGAGGCGAAAATACGTCAAGACGACTTGGCCACGAGGTCGAATTGACCCTGTCGAGCCACATGCACTGCCAGCTCGGCGAAGCCGAAGTGGCCGACGACGAGATGAAGCAGAGTGAGCAAGCCGATGCTGACGATGAAGCTGACGATGCTGCTCGTGGCGGCGACGACGACGACGATGATGATGATGATGATGATGATGATGGGGAGGAGAATGAGGACGAGGAGGATGAGGAGGGGGAGGAGGAAGAGGAGGGGCGACTGGTGCCGGCTGGTGAGAGTGCGGCCGATTCGGGGCGCGAGTCAGGCGCGAGGACGAGTGAGTCGTCGAGGCAACAGACGACCGGAGGCCAGAGTCCGGCGGCCGAGTCCGGCGGCCGTGCAAGCGACGGGCTCTCGGACAAGCCTCCGTTCAGCTACAACGCTCTGATTATGATGGCGATCCGCAACAGCGCCGAGCATCGGCTCACGCTGAACGGTATCTACGACTACATCATGACCAATTTTCCTTACTACCGCACCAACCGGCAAGGCTGGCAGAACTCGATC